AGCAGTCCGGGTTATTTTTAGCAGTAGTGAATGAATCTAATAGTGACTGGTTAATGAAAGAGAGATCCTGGGGTGAATATGAGATTGATGGGCCAGTGTCTTTAAGTGAGGGTGTGGAGTCAGGTGTCGCCCCCACCGAAAACCTGAGAGGTAGGGCGGCGGAACACGCCCCCACCGAGTCACTTGTAGCATGCCCCATAGGTACGGACAGGCCGGGTTGGACAGCTGCGGCGCAATGTGACGGCGAGAGGCCGGACTCCGCCCACACCAAGAACCTGGAGGGTGAGGCCACGGAATCCGCCCCTGTAACGTCAACCGGACCGGACTCGCCGAACCGAGCAGAAGTGGACCGGAGCCTCCGCGGAACGTCGGACCTCGCCCCCACCGAAAACCTGAGAGGTGAGGCGGCGGATCCGGCTCCCACAGAAACACCAGAACCAACTCTAAAATTCTGCTCAGCCGACGAAACCGGCCCGGTCGCCACGGGCTGCCTTCGAGACCGCTTCCTACCTCCCCGGCGACGACGGGTGAGTCGAGGGACCGGAACAAAACCAAACTCCTCTTCGATCTCTTCGTCTTCCCCCGACGTCCATCCCGAGTAGCCGGGCAAGGCGGACTCCGAAACAGCGGTGCGGTGGCTTCCCCGGTATCGAGCTCTGTCCTCCTCGAGGACCAGGAGTGGAGAGGACAGGATTTCCACCTCCTGGTCATAACATCCTTGTGGGCGGACGGGCCTAGTCCAAAACCCGCCGCACCGGATTGTGGATTTACTCATCTCGAGGCTCGGAGGAGAAAAAGAAAAAAGGTGAGCTGCCGAGAGAGCCCTGCCCGCTGGGTTCTAATGTGTGGTCGGGTCGTAATGTCAGGGTTTGGTGGACAAGAACGAACCCAGTAGCGCAGACAGGACTCAACTCGGCAGATTACAAAACCAAATACTTTAATGATGAAAAAAGGTAACAAAACAATAAGCTGACGTGGCAGCAACACTTACATAAACTAGACGACTCTGGAGGGATACTCAAACGGGACTCAGAAAGCTCAGGAAACTCAGGAGACACAGGAGAACACTGAAGACCCAAACGAATACGACCCGACAAAGGAACAACACAGAACAGGAGGCTTATATACAAGGACAAGACAAGACGTGATTACAACAGGTGTGACGATACAAAGGTGGCAACAATTAAACTGACGAGGAAACACTAGGGAAACACAGACACAAACAGAAACAGCAAATGGTACCATCCTTACACTGACTGTTGATGATCCATTTAAAATTGAGGGTGTTGAGATTTGTAGAGTGAATGAGATGAAATTTTTGGGTGTAATCATTGATGAACAGCTAACATGGAAAAATCACATAAATTCTGTAAGAACAAAAATATCTAAATCTATTGCAGTACTATACAAAGTCAGGGAATTATTAAATGATAAAGCTCTGTACATGTTGTATAACACAATCATTGTTCCACATTTAATCTATTGCATTGATGTTTGGGGGAAAGCGTGTAAAACATTTACAAAACCTATTTTTATTTTACAGAAAAGAGCTGTAAGAATTATCACCAGAAAACATTACAGTCACCCATCAAGCACATTATTTTATCAACTGAATTTATTGAAGTTCCATGATTTGGTAGATTATAGTATTTTATCAGTTATGTATAGGGCTCAAAATAACACATTACCATTAAATATCCAAAGAAATTTTGTTAAAAGACAAAGTTGTTATAATCTTAAAGGGATAGAAATATTTGTCAAACCAAAATTCAGAACTAGTCTGAAGGGAAGGTCTGCCTCAATCCAAGGAGTTGGATTGTGGAATGGTCTAGAGAGTGACGTGAAAAATGTCAAGTCAATGTGTACATTTAAGAAAAAGATCAAAGCTGGATTGTTAAAAATATATATATGAAGTAGCTTAGTGTGTTTTTTGTATAAGAATTAGAAAAATTTGAAAGAGTTATTCATTTTGTTCTGTCACTTGAAAATTATCATGATTTAAATAATTGTTTGAGGGCAGCACGGTGGCGCAACTGGTAGAGCTGCTGCCTCTCAGTGAGCAGGTCCCTGGTTCAAACCCCGGTCCAGGGGCCTTTCTGGGTGGAGTTTGCATGTTCTCTCCATGCATGCGTGGGTTTTCTCCGGGTACTCCGGTTTCCTCCCACAGACCAAAAACATGCATGTTAGACTGATTGGTAACTCTAAATTGTCCCTAGGTGTGAGTGAGAGAGTGAATGGTTGTTTGTCTCTGTGTGTCCCTGTGATGGACTTGCGACCTGTCCAGGGTGTACCCCGCCCCTCGCACAGTGATTGCTGGACATGGGCACCAGCAACCCCCGTGACCCAAAATGGAATAAGCGGGTAAAGATAATGGATGGATGGATAATTGTTTGAAAAAAGGGGTAGATATAATAATATTTTTTCTTCTTTCTGCTGCCTTTCATTTTAAATCTCTTGTATCTTTTTTATATTGTTATGGAATTGTTTTGTACTTTTTTTAAATGAATAAACTTTATACCATACCATACCATATAAGTAATGTGTAATGTGTTATAAATGTGCTTGCTGGTAAAGTTTTTTGATGTTTTATTGTGTCCTGATAAGGACAAGATGTGAAGAGATCTTTTTTGTAATACCACTATCCCATCCTCATTGCCTTTCCCCTTTTCTATCTAAAAAGTATTCCGAAAAAGAATAAGGGGCTGCGCTCTCAGGAGCAGAAGCAACGTGCACTCCGCCCATCTTTCAGATGATTGTACGGGCATAATCTCACTGTATTTTGCTATAATGATAATAATATCATAACCGAGGGGAACCCAGATTTGTATGAGACCCGGAACGAGACA